TGATGGACCAAAGGCAAGTGCAGCACAACAGCAGGAATCAGCCAGTATGTACATTTGTGTGTCCAGCAGGGTCATTTTTTTAAAAACAGTCACCCCTGGATTGGTCAAAACTCCTCTGGTTCTCCCACCTCATCTTCTGGATTTACAAAACCTTCCTGTTGAAAGACAAAAAACCGCAGAACTCGGCGGGCTGAAGACAGTTTAGTATGAGACTTAATTTAACCACTGCGATATACACTTACATCTGTGGCGTACAGGATATCCACAATCCTTTGCAGTGTAGGATCACCCTCACCCTCACCCTCTTTCTCTTGGCAGATGAGCTCGATGTTTCTCAGTTTGCCAAAGTAGAAATCCCTTTCCTTTTCCATGTCAGCAATAGTGGCCTTCAAGTCATTTATCTGCCCATATGAGCATTACAAAAAAATTTATATAATGATAATGATAGCAACAACAACAACAATAAATAACTACTATCTGGGTCAATATCACCATAGAGTGCCTTTCAACCCTCACAATACTCAAATTTTGGTTTTAATTTCCCATTCGCTTTATGTCATATCATAAATAATAGACACTCAAGTACTATAGAAACATATTTATTGAGCTCCCACACATTTTTTTTTTTTAGATAATTATGGGCCATTATTCGAAGCATAATCCATAAGATATGTCCACCCTGACATATTAGCTGAGCTCCCACACATTTTTTTTTTTTAGATAATTATGGGCCATTATTCGAAGCATAATCCATAAGATATGTCCACCCTGTCATGGATATATTACTGTTAAATAAGTTTTCATTGCAAAATTAAGATGCAAATGATATTTTCTGAAAGGTATGATGTCCCTTTTCTAAACGGGGTTATTAAAAAAAATAATATAATACATCTTCAATCACATTGATGTGGGAAAGTCGTGGCCTAATGGTTAGAGAGTCGGACTCGTAACCCGAAGGTTGCGGGGTTCGAGTCTCGTACCGGCAGGGATTGTAGGTGGGGGAGTGAATGTACAGCGCTCTCTCCCACCTTCAATACCACGACTGAGGTGCCCTTGAGCAAGGCACCGAACACCCAACTGCTCCCCTGGCGCCACAGCATAAATGGCTGCCCACTGCTCCGGGTGTGTATTCACAGTGTGTGTGTGTGTGTGTGTTCACTGCTGTGTGTGTGCACTTAGGATGGGTTAAATGCAAAGCACTAATTCCTAGTATGGGTCACCATACTTGGCCACATGTCACATCACTATTTCACTATATACCTCCCCCCCATTCATTTTAGTTTTTAGCAATATTAAATGTATGCTATGTCCACCCTGTCATGTTTATGTCCACTCTATTGAGTCTAAGTGGCTGACAGGGTGGACATTTTGGAACAACGACAGGGTGGACATTTTGAGTGCCAAATGATCAATACACTCAAATTGAGTAATCTCTTATTTAACAAAATATTAAAAGGAGATTTTTTTTTTTATATTTTATGATTTGACAATATTCTACTATCATTCAAATTTAATGAGCAGTGCATGAGACATAGCAAAATAACACGCATCCTCTTACACAAAACAAAAAAAAAAAATAGAAAATGTATCTAAAGAGCCAAGTAATGCTTTTGTTATGAATATAAAAACTTAGCTTAATATAACACCCTTTCATAGTCATTTTTATGTTAAGTTATCATGGCAAATTAGTTATTTATGTACAGGACACCAAAAGGCACCCTACAGTGATATTGACCCAACTATCATTAACAGTACTAATAACTATTATTATTATTAAAATATATTAATACAAATATTATTTATGGAAATATAAAAATACAAAATATATAGATTATTTGATATAATATGAATATAATTTAAAAAACAACTATGCAAAAAAATTTAATTGTAAAATGTAAATGCATTTATCCTTCTCGTTTACTGTTTTTTGTAAAGTCTTACCATCTGAGTGAGTGCTCCCTTCTCTTCATCACCGCCGCCTGTTGCTGTGCCTCGCTGTGCAGCTGGAGCTGTTTTTGGTGCAGATTTAGGTGTTGTGGCTGAACGCTGTGGAGCTGAACATCAAGAACACATCCATCACCTTGTTATACATACTCATCAACTTGCCTCGAGGATAAGGGTCAATTCTAGCCTCAAACTGACCAATTGAATAAATTATTAAAAGGTTTTATTTCATATATTGAAGCTGAAATTAAAAAAAGAAAAGAAACGTAAAGAAAAATTACAGTTGTTTTAGAATAATTCCACCAACAAATGCCATAGACCCAAAAGAGAACTGCATGACTGTTCTTTTAAAATGTGCAGTGCTTGGAAATGTAGGAATCACCATAATGTGAGGAAAAATACCCAGGTGAAGCAACCTTGTAGACAATGTGCTTGAACTAAAACTCGCAGTTCTCAATATCTTACCAACAGGGGCCATTGGTTTGACTGCAGGTGTGATGCCTGTGTCTGAAGTGAACAGAAATCCATGCACAGGCATTGTAAGGCTCCAGTCATTCTCACACATGTAAAAGCAGCTAAAGCATGTAGGACTGGCCCACTGGTGCGTGATTGGGTCACACCCACATATTTTGGCCTCAAAATCCATAACAGCTGCAGCTGTCATGCACCTGTTAGCATTAGGACAGCTAGCTTCCGACAATAACGCTAGTCTCTATATGAACTAGGAATATATGAACCAAAAAACACTGATAAGTTGATAATTACTTATTAAAATTCATTGAATATTTAACATTCATTGAATATTAGTCGGACATTTATGTGTGCTATTTTAACTATTAGGATAAGCCTAAAAAAGGCTGAAATGGTACTGAGAACTTCCTGTTTGGTCTTTCTCCTTACCTGAGCTGGGTTTCTTTGGTTTGTTAGCTGTAGCTGCTGCTGGACTCTGATTGGTGGGCATTTCTTGTCCCTGTCGAGCTGCCACCGGATCATATTCTTTCCCATCATAATTTGCATCGAAGAACTTCTTAAACCATTGCACAAACTCAAAGTTATCCTGGAACTTGCCCTTCACAAGCTTGTCAACAGGAATAATCTGCACAGAGACGTAAAATGTTACAAAGTAGTTCCACTTCACATATTGTACATTATGAATATATTTTGTGTAGCAAAATGGAACGCATAATTTGTATGCTAATGAATTTAACTGGTTGACATACTTTGCTAACTCCCATCTTTTTGAAGCTGGCTTGAAGGAGTTTGAAGTTATGGATGTATTCGTGCTCAAGTTTGGCCTGGAATTTGACTTTCTTCAGTGGAATACATGATGGGAACAGCATGTCCATGAATTGACAGTAAGCAGCACCTTAAAACACATTATTAAAGACATAGTCAGTAAATAATATAAAATATTTCAGAATTAAAAGAGAAAAAGGCCATGCAGGTCCCAACCCAAACAAAAACCCCTTTCACCCCCCTGCACTGTACTATCTTTGTCCATTCCATCACAAACTGCTGACTCAGACAGCGACAAATTCAGCATGCAAATGAAAAAGTAAATAAAAGTCAATCTATGACCCATTATTATTATTATTATTATTATTATTATATGTAATCTTCATGGTCAAAATGCAAACTAGGCTTTACGTCTCTCTGTCAGTAATTTAATGATGCTCAAGTTGGGTGTGTGAAATGAAAGGACCAGACAGCTGGTCACTGACCTGAGCACAGTTGCTCGATCTTGGCATGGCTCATCTGTAAAGACTCGTTTATCCATGTGAGCATGTCATGGCGGCTGAGGTTTTCACTTGTCACTGAAGTCGAGTACACGTTCACAGCAGCCATGGCTGGGACAAAACCGATGCTTTGAAGCTGATGGAGACACTTTTCCGCTGAAGCTGCTGGACAGAGATGTTGTGGGAAAAGAGTTAAAGCCTCATTTCCTTAAACACACATTCACACCCTTCAGCCCAGCTACATCATCTACTTCCTATTTAATCAGTCACTTTAATGTGGCTGTATATTTACATCCATCTTAGAGTTTAAGGTCAAAATCTAGTACATTACTTACGGGATAAAAATCTGATCTTTATTTTAAAAAGCTTGTTTCTTGTTAACTTTTTAGGCTTCCGATTTAACGCTCCGCTCAACTAACGTTAATCTGTCAGAATTTTTAATAGGGTAACGTTATTCATATAAACAGTTTGTGCTCTACGTTATGCTTACGTTTTAACAGTTTCTTTTTAACTGCTGAACATTTAAATCATAACATTAGATGACATTTATCGTCCAAATGACCAAAACTATCAATAAAGTATTGATTTTCTGTTAAGTAAAGTGATTCTGTTGTGCGTGTCACAGATCAAATCAACGCCTTTCTCTTACATTTGGTTCTGGATGGGAGTGAACCGGGCTGCAGTTCACCGGCGCGTCGTTCGTAATGTGCCGCTTCTGCAGCAGGCTGGCCTGGGGAAAGCGCTGTAAGCCTGAAACCACAGCAGACGCTTACTAACTAATCACAGATGTCAAAATAAAAGTCAGCATTCACCTATAGGAAATAAACAGTTTGCTAACTACTTCCATTTGTCAAAATAAAAGTAATAATCAACAAAATAAAAGTCACCATTAAACGCATAAAACCAAAAACTAAAGTTGAAAGAAATCAACAGTTTTGGTAAATGTAATAACATAAAAATACAATGAAAAAAAATTATTTTACTAATCTTAAATCACTCACACACACTTATGTGTGCATGTATAATGTACATGTTATTTTCAATTTCCTGTTGGTTATGTTTCTATAATTGAGTTACCTATTCTATTACCTTATCTCATCTATTAATTATTATTTTTATTGAACTAAATTTTAATGTATTTGAGTAGTTCATCTCACGCTTCTTAGCACATTACTAAATCAGCTATAAAAAAAATTAAGATATTAAGTCAAAGCAAGAATTAATCTGACACACTGGTCTGAATGTTTAGTTTTGTGGGTTGATAAAACACTTAAATTAACATATTAATTGAAAAAAAAGACAGATAAAACAAGGTTGGTGCAATTTATTTTTCTTTACTGATGTTAGTACAAGCATGGAATATTAAAGCTAGGTAAGCAGACTATATCAAATATCAAAAGATTAAAACAAAACCAGTCTTGTCAATCATCAGTTCAGGGAAAACATTCTAGATCTACAGACATCATTAGCATATCATTTAGCACCAAAACACATCAGGGTGTGTGAATGACCCATTCAACAGGAAAAAAAAAAGAGGTATTAAGGGCAATTTCAAGGGTACAAATATATAGTATATTCTGTTCACAAAGAATTGAATAAAAATAATCAAGTGTGACATTAAAGATCACGGTCCTATGAGGCCTGCTGGTGTTGAAAAGACCTGAGGAAGTTATTCTTTATAACACAGTACTGCACCTCCAAATTACACATGAACCATCATTTTACAAAAATCACATGTAACACAGCACCAACACAGTTCTTACTGGGAATTTCTAAAGCTTTGCTACAAGACATAGACATAGACCAACAGGCATCAAGACATGTAATCCAGTTAATGATATTTCACCAAAGCACACACACACCTCAAGCTGGCCCATGCCTCACTAAAACTGGTTTAATCAAGCTTAGTTTGAGTAAGTTGGTATCAAGTTTTAGAAAACTACCAAAAGCTGAAGATCAGCTTTGATTTGGGTGACCATATGTCCTCTTTTTCCCCCAGACATGTCCTGGATGGGATTTCTAAATGACCTAAAATGGATTTGTTTTCCTATTGTTTTTATACTTGAAGGTAATGACTGAAAAGAAATCTGACCGATAGCATGCAGGTATAGTATATAATCGACTGATAGAAATCCATGCCAGAATATGTCCGGGAAAAAGAGGATGTATGGTCACACTAGCTTTGACCTGTGACAGTCCGAACCACAAATCACCATGATCCACATAATGCTACAAAAAGACACATGCTAAACAACTACAAAGAAAACGCATAGTATTTATACACACATTCTGAAGCACCTAATTTCACACTGACAGTAGACCACAATTGATAACGAAATGTAATCGGAGACATTTCAAAGGTAAGATATAATTTAGACACTTGCACTAGACAAAGTAGCCAAAATTATTCCCTTTAAAGTAGTCTGAAGTCATGCCAATTACAATCAGTTCACAATTTTTTCTACATAAAAAAATTGCCTATCAGTTTGTAGGCACTTATTCAGAGTTTAAGCCCTTGATCACATTGCATCATGTTCTACAAAAAGGCTTCAGTTAACTCTCACTTAGATATTGTAGTATGCTAAATCCTCACCAAAAACAACACAAATTAATGCTGCAGTGACCACAGTTTCAGCCAACAGTTTAAAATCGGAAGTGCGTACAGGTAACAAATGGGGCAAAATGAAAAGCGAAATACTTAATCCTAAGGGTCGATGACCTGTTTCTTGTAAAATGATGATAGTGTGGACTAAAATGCTAGCTCAAGGAAAAAAATTGTCTTAAAACTGCAGTGTTGCTCTGCAAATTGATTAACAATGATAAAGATTACAACTTAAAAAAAGTTAAAAAAAAAAAAATGGTAAAGCTTTGGAAGGCTACTGTCAACTCAAATCTATCATCAGCCCAAGGCTTTGAGTAAAAATTAATGGCACAGACAATATTTGTGCTTCTAAATACATGGAGCACTACAAGATTGCATGTATTCCTATAAATAAAACGCAGTTTAACTGAAACCCAAGTCATCTATATTAGCATTAATTTCAGTTAAATAGATGCTCCTAAAAAATGCTGACTTAGTACAGTTGTCATGATGGCCAAACATCCTGTATTATAAAACGTGCCGTGGAATGACAACATTACCATAATTTTAAAAATTCTGAAATGCAATATTTAAAAACAGGACATGTTTATTCCTAAAACACGGAAAAGATTTAATGTAAAAATTTGATCTAAAAAGCTGACATAAGTTTAAAACTGATAAACTAAACCAAACTAATATTAACTTATTTATTAAATTATAAATAGGCATAAAGCGGCATTCCTCCAGACAATGAACAAATCACAGAATGGCACTGAGGTAGTGGGTGGAGTATCGTGTGGCTCTCTCCAGCATTAAAATCAGTTTAAAAGTACACAAGTTAAAAATGACAGTACTTAAGAAAATCCAATCCAAAAGTGGCTGTGCATTCCAAGGATAAATCATCAGGATAACATGCTTTCTGAACTTAAGAACAAATGCAACATTAAAATTTGACAATTTTCTGTGAGGTCAGAATCTGCAGAAAAAAACAAAAAAAATCAAATTCATTTATCGGAGAGACTTAATTTGGACCTCCAGTGCCAGAGCTGCCTGGACCAGACGGTGGCTTTACTCGCAAGCAAAGTAATCCTTCAGAGGGGCAAAGAGATGTCGGATCACAGGAACGCTCCAGGACCGCCCAAGCACCTTCTGCCTCTGTCCTCGCCCCATATTATTCACATCTGTGTAATGCTTTGGAAACCCAAATATTCTGAAAAAATAAATAAATAAATAAATAAAATGTCAGTAATTTTGTTTAGAGCCACATTATGCAGCTTTTTAAACAAACCCACTGAATTACTACATGCAAAGTGCAGACCTGATATAGCAAAACTGAGTAAAATTTAGTTAATATAAATATATCTGACCTCTCCATTTCAGTGCACCAAAGATAGTCCTCTTTTCCATTCATGGTGACTGGCAGAGGCCCCATCTTCCCTTGTTTGATGGAGTTGGACTTGGTGGTGATAGTGCGAACTTTGTTGAACTGATGATACAGTAAAAAAATTTATTTGTCAAATCATTTTTGTTAAGGAAGAAATAAGATGTAATTGTTTTTGACATTCTACCATATAACTTAGTTGAGCCTAGAGTCCTGATACTCATGTATATTTTCTAGGACTGCTGTAAACTAAAACTACAAATCAAAATTTATATTTGTGCAATTCTTTGATTTCATTCACGAAATATAAACTTTTCTGTCAGAAGGTACAATAAACCTGTTTACCATTGCAGTTCGTCCGACCTCCAGGCAGTCCTGCAGTTCTACTTTATCAGTGAGTGAAGTCACAAGTGGTCTATAAACACAAATTCACATTAATCTGTGCATACATTTATTACTGAACATGCATACAGGTCCATGAAGTTACACTTTATGTTCACAGATATGTGTGATTGTTTGTGTCCCTGCATTTATACCGGTTCATTCCAGGTAAATTTCCCCAGAAGTAGCGAGCCCTGTGGGCTGGGCTTACTTTCACAGCATCAATCATCACAGGATTACACTGGAAACAGATAAAAGCACAATAATTCATAACCATCTACAACAACGACAACAATAACATGCTCATGTGAGTAAGATGGGAACACCATTGGTAAACAGCATGTATAAAGGTGCTTTCACATTTAGCATTGTTTGGCCACTTTTGGCAAAAGATTTTCCTATGCAAACTTTGAATCAGGTTCAACATAATGTGTAATAATAATAAGTGACTTCTGTTCTATGTGAGATGTGCTAATGTTTGCAAAATGTCTGCTAATGTGACCGCACCTCTAGCCTGGTGGGAAAAATAAAGAGAAAAAGTCTTTTTACCTCCAGGAAACGACAGATATCAGCCTTGTCGTGGGCACTCATGGCTACTACATTCTCAAAGAGCCAGAAAAAGGGGCGATCGTCACCCTCTCTCGGCCTCATCATGGTTAACATGCGGTAATATTCAAAGAACAGTCGACCTGTGCCTTCTGAAAGAACATGAGAACTCTGAAATATTACTTTTTGAAACGGAGTTACATAAATCTCTTCCAATATTAAAGACCATGCTCAGATCTACCTAAATCTTCACAATTCGATTGAATAGGTAGCATAAAGTACAAGAAAATTATAAATATCTTACCAAAGAGACCTTTTCTGGCTGGATTCACCATGGACAGGTCATTACATGGACTTCCACCAATCAGGAGGTCAAATGGCCCCCACTCGGCCAGCTACAAAATGGTATGACAAAAGGGAAGTTTAAAAATGTTCTTTCCACAGTGACTTGCCCTGGTTCCCTGTTGAAAAAACCAGCATATGCTGGTTAGGTATATTTTGAAGCATGGCTGCTTCAAAACATAACTAACCAGGATATGCAGTTTTTTTTTTTCCAACAGGGTTCTTACAGATATGAGAAAGACTGTATATAAAATAGCAATGTTTAGCCAATAAATCTAGTTAACTGTTAAAATCTGTATACTACTTGAAGAATGTCTGTGAAGTAAATTAATATTTCTTGCGAAAAAGCTCAATACGTACATGTTTCCTTGTGATGGTGCGCACATCTTTCACATATTCAATCTGGCCCTCATGTTTGATCATCCCAACAGCAATGGAGTCTTCACAGATCTCAGAGGCAATGTAGCGCTCCACCTTAAAGCCCAAGTCTTTTAAGACCAGATAGCCTACAAAAAAAAAAAAAAGTATGTATGGAAGTATGGGGGGAAAAAAAACAAAAATCACCCTGGTATAATTCACTGCTATTGCACAAACTTCAAGGTAAATGAAGACAAAATAATAAATGCCATTGTTTCAGTATTTCCTTTGATTCAAACTGATTTAAATGAATAGTTCTGCCAAAAATGACAATTCTCTTAATATTTACTCCCCCTCATCTTGTTCCACACCTGTATGGCTTACTTTATTTTGGGGAACACAAAAATTAATTATTAATTAATTTTGACGCAGCGAAGGGCAGCAGTCCCTCTGTATGAATCTAAGATCAACAAGAGAAACATGCTTTAACATGAAACGGATCCTTTGAAGAATAAGGGGGAAAGTATCTCTCAGATGAGAATCAGGACAAAGAAAGCAAGTAAAAACTCCTAACCTCTGAAAACATGCCATCTCCAAACCACTCCACACGCCTCATAGACACAGTAAGCGCCCTGCCCTTCCACACCACCACCAGTCCAGGCCACCAAGAGAAGCCCTTTACTTTTCCCCACACAAGCTCTCCAATGGCATAACCTTTTCCATCCTGCAGAGAGAGACAGGCAGTCAATACTAACTGCTACATTCATAACATGGATGTCTTGGATGTCCTAGATTAGTGAGAAACAAACAAACATACACAAACGGTCAGGTTTGCAGTGAGATTAAAGAGGTTTAGAAACCTTTAAGACTTACGTGGTACGCTTGTTCTCTCTTTCCAGATCTGGGGCTTGGTGTCGAATTTGATGCAGATGAACGAGCATTGTTCTTAACCTACATTAGTGAGAAACAAACATACACAAAGAAAGAATACAAAATCTAAAGTGAATGTTTTTGAATGAAACCGTAAACATTTCATGTGGGAAGCACACACACATAAAACCCAATTTTAATGAAGTCTCCTGCTGATCTGTCTTTGCTAGCTTTCACAATGCTAACTACTGAGAAAGTCTTGTTGAAGCTTAAAGTGATTAACTTTAATCATTTGTAAATATTACCACAAAAAGATGTGTATTTTATTTTATTTTTTTTACATAAGCATTTTTATCATGTATGTTAGTGTATCAGTACAACATGCATGGCACGGCAAACAATAAATCTTTATTTATTTGTAAAGCACTTATCACAATACATATTGCTCTAAAGCAGCATAATAATAAAAAACACCATGGAGAAGCAGATGCAGAACGTTAGCAATGCAATTACAGAAAAAAAACAGACATGGACACATAGCTACAGGTGGAACATCAGATGAAAATGAAGACTCTAAAGAGTAATCTACCATCCGGAAAGGAAACCACAGGACTCATGCACACATTCATAAAGCGGCATCCATCGCTTATGAAAACAGCTCAATGTAATACAGAGAGCGTGAAAGGGACAAAACTGAGGCAGACCCTCTATACCTGCGATAAGCCAGAGAGAGCACTGAATCTTGACCTGGGCAGGTACATACCACCTCTGGTTTGCTGTCCTTGTCTGGGTTCACCGGTTTGCTCCAGGTGCCTGTACCAGCCTGAAAGACTGTACGTTCCTGTGGTTTCTGCCGTAAGCTGCTCTCCCAACCATAAATTCCCCTAACGGAGCCCTATAGACCCATACATATGCACACAAATTACACACGTACGCAGTCACTCAGGTCACATGACTCCTACATTGAAGTAATCAGTATCAGGGTGCCAAATTGCAGATATGTAGAAAAGGAAAGAAAGATGTTAAATCAAGAGAGGTTAGTGTGATGATATGGTTGGTTTGTCTGTGTGTGTGTGTGTGCCGGTGATTTTTTTCCTGTGATAACTATTTGATCTAATCAGCCTTAGTTTGCATCATCATCTCAATACAATGTGAAATAGTTTTCAGCAAAAGTATTCATTGCCAAAATCCTGACCTTGTAATTAGTTAGACTGATATGTTGACCAGGCCAGATTATAAGTATTGCCAATAACCATTTGTTACTTTTATTCAGCAAGGGCACATCAAATAGACCAAAAATGAAAAATTGTTACAAAAGATTTCTATTTGAAATAAGTTATGTTATTTTAGGCTTTCTATCAAAGAATCCTGAAAAAAGTAGTATCACAAAAATATAAAGCAGCACAACCGTTTTTCACTATTAATAATAATAATAAGAAATGTTTCTTTAGCACTAAATCAGCATATTAGAATGATATATATATATATATATATATATTAAGGGGGTCATATGATGCGATTTCAAGTTTTCCTTTCTCTTTGGAGTGTTACAAGCTCTTGGTGCATAAAGAAGATCTGTAAAGCGCTTCAAGGCGGGGCATAGAGGAGAAACAATAATGTACATTATGTGGAAAATAATGTGTTTTTTTAACTTAAAATCGCACAAACGCAGTGCATTACACCAAATACACAAAATAATGTTCTTTTTAGCAACGTCATATGACCCCTTTAAATTAAACACTGAATACACTGAAATATATATATGGTTGTATTAGTATATAAACATTTTTATTGCCATTTTCTCAGTATCTATTGACAAACAGGAATGAATTCCTTGGTTAAAAACAAATCTAAAAGCCAGTTGTTTTCCATCTTTTATTACCTCGTGTATCGTACTACTAGTCCAGATATCATCATCGGCTCCATCTCTCCTTAAGTCCATTTCTGTAGAAAAATAACATGTTTTAAATAGTTGAATTGAACAATCAAATATGAATGTATCTATTTTGAGTAACAAAGAGCACAGATAGCAACATTTAACATTACTTTGAGCCCAGACAAACAGAGCATTTACATTTGTAATTTTTAATGCAATGGATCAACTTTCTTGAGCATTTAGGGCGGAAGCAAAGGAAGAAAGTTCAGACCAACAGACATTTGCCACCAGAAGCGACTGAGATCATAAAGCATTATTCTGAAGCTGCTCTAGAACCTCTTAAACCCATCTTAAGCATTTCATTCACACCTCTCTGACAGGTGATCTTCTCCAGTCGCACCACACACGGCTTCACTGTGTCTGAGTGTTGAACCATCTCTGGAAAACAGCACATTGTTTACATCAATCTAACCAGCCTGTGCTGGATCTGACTGGATAGAACTTAATCTGCACTATACAGCTATGCAAAAAAATGAATATAGATTACAATTTGATAATTTTATTGTTCTTACTATGTAAAGTACATGATAGCACTTTAATTAAATTAATCCATGACAATTAATTGGGAAAGTAATATAGTATTATGAGGAGAACCCTTTAGCACCCATGTTAATAACATGCAAGCCAGAAGAAGACGTTTCTACATCTTCATGCGCTTTAATCCAGATATTAGTCTTGCAGAGCTCGACATCTGGCAGTCGGCATCACTTTACAGCTTTTTCTGGCAAAGAACCACCCACATAGGCACTTTGCATAAGCAATATATCAAATCATCAATATACCCAGAAATTATGAAAATATTGAAGCCTCTTATGGTCTTGGCAGTGACCAATGAGCTGCTTCTCACAATGAAAAAAGGGAAAGCCATTGTCAGCCTGCTCTGACATGAGCTGATCTGATCCAAACATTTTCCTCAGCAATGCAACTTTGAATATCTTTGAAACTGAATGTAAATTAACCTGGCAAAGCCCAATAATTAGTCAAAGTTTTTAGTTCTTCCTCACAAGTGCTCATCGGAGCAGCCTTTTCCTTGAAAGCACAATTTGGCGTTCAGATGGACTAATAAAAATCCTGTGTGCCCTAAATTCCACAAGTTACATGTTTATTAGAGGGTCTGTGAGCATTTTCTGCTGTGTAGGTTGATGTTTTTTTCAGGTTTGCTATTGTTGGAGGCTGAGGATATATGTAATTGTCAATGTGAATCGTTTTGGTGCAAATATTTTACCAGTGATTGCTGCTGCCATTTTTAATTTTAAAAAAAAGCAAGCAGGTCTTTAGTATAACTTACCTGATGTGCTACCTCTGTTTTTTTTCATTTGCCCATTTCTGATAGGTGAAATCTTGACTTCAGTGTGGTCTAGAGAAGAGTCATCATTGGAATCCAGCTCTTTTGTCAAATCTGTGTCACTTTCCTCTGAACTATCATCCCAATGAGCAACATCTCCATTTTCAACAGCCTGCGAGCAAGTAAACCCATTTTAAACACATGACAATATTAAATAAGATAGAACGATAGATAGATAGCATGTACTTTATACCTGTGCAAAGATCTTTTCTGCTTCAAGAGATGGACAGGGCAAAATCAAAAAACAGAGGACAAGTCTCTTGAAGATGGATTCTGGTGGAAAAGTCTTGAGCACATTACACCAGTATCGCTCCAGAGGAAGGGTTGAAGGCGTGTCTTCTTCATCCTCTACAAGCTGGTACTCCAAGAACTCATCCGTGAGCTTAGCAGAATCCTCAGGTTTGGAGCAGATGCCAAATTGTACAGCAAGGTCAACTATACTCTTTCCTGTGACCTTCAATCTTCCTGCTGGGCTGAGAAGCTGTGAAATGCCCCTCAGGACACTATCGCTCAGAGGTAGACTGTCAGCGATGGAGGTTGTAAGAGTTTTGTAGAAAGCTAAACACTCATCATGAAACACATTAATGGAATCTGCTAGCTCTTCTTCTCTGGCAGAGATGAAGTCTTCTACCACACCACCCAAACTGAGCTCAGTTGCAGGAAGGCAGAATGTTGAGTTCTCCAGGATGGCTGGGTCTCGTTCCTTCAGGTAGCGTATGACCGCTTGAGGGCGAAGAAAGCTGGAGGCATACGAACGTAGGAGTCCACTTGCTTCTCGAAGGATCTGGACAAGATCGGCACGAACTGAGCCTTTGCTTTGTTGCAGGTGCTGCTCGAAGACACGGAGTGGTCCAAGAGCATGATCCAGAAACATCAAGGTGATCCTAACTTTAGGATTCTCCAGCTGCGAACAAATTTGCTTAGCTTTATCATTATTTTCATCGCAGGAAGTGAAGTATGATACCAAATCACTCCACATTTCAAGCATCCTTTGAACAAGCACACAAAACTCCTCACAACTGTGTGAGAGGGGAGCGCTGGTGTCTTTTAATCCTTCAATGCCCGCAAACAGCATCTTGAGATTGTCATTGCTGGTGGAACAAGTTGAGAAGTGTTCATAGATGCTGGCAATAAGTTCCTGAACCTGACTGGAGTGAGCTTGTAGGCCAGCACTGCAGGCAGAGTCAGGTACGTTGTAAAGTCCTCCGAGATCAATCACCTGTGAATTGAGCTCCTGAATCTGTGACACAACACTTCCTGAGGTCTGTTCCTGGTCATTAACGTAGAAAGCTACCATGTTGCCAGCAGGAAGCTCAAACTTTTGAAGGACATTGAGTAAACATCCAGATACAGAGCTACCATCTTCAGCCTGAAAGACATCAAGGAGACGGATACAATACCTTGCTCGCTTTTCCTCAAAAAAGCCCACTAGCACCACATGGCAGGAGGTCCTTTCTCTGCTTTCTGCATCAAGCAGCACCTGCCCATATATATATATACAGTAGGGATTCATCTTACAAGCAGAAACAATATCACTTGGATAATTCAGGCCGAGGATGTAGCTTGCAGTACGTTGGGAGACCTTGTTGATCCTTGAGGGTAAACTGGAGAGGCAATGGTTTTGAATGAAAAGAAGCATGGTTTCACTACAGGAAATAGAGTTTTCAATCTTTTTTCTGCCAGATGAATTTAATCCTCCCATCTCACGCTTCATATGCTTCTGAGTCTGTTGGTGTCGCTTCAGATCGAAAAAACCTGCGTGTAGAATGATATTGTAGTCACACAAAGTGCAGTAAGCACAGTTGTCTTCCATATGGCTGGCTCTGATCCACTTGAAGGTTCTTTCCCATTTAGAATCGTAAGTCACAGGTTGTCTCCTTCCATTCAATTCCATGTCTTTGTCAGACTCGTCTCTTACTCTGCCTGTATAAAATGGAAAACAAGTTACATTAGTGTTGTGATGGAATATTATATTTATTTCAGTGATGAACTGATTTCCCAGTACTATTGATGTATTAGGGATGTAACGGTATTAACATTTCTTATCACTGTTATAGTGACCAAAATGATCACGGTTAGCAGTATTATCTCGGTATTGTTAAAATGTGCTGGAGATGTTAAAAAAGTACCGACACATAAATCACTTCACCAAGTTTTATATTTAAAAATAAACAAACAACAAATAAAATGACTTTTTGTTTGCATAATCACTAAAACAATAACATTACCAATGATGTTCGGATTTTAAATGACAACTTGACT